CTTCAGAAGCTTCTTCCTTCAAGTGGATTCTCACAGGCTCTTAACCAATGTACATATGCTCAATTGTTAACAGTTGATGGATATTTTGCAGACTTTTAACACCAACAATTCAACAGTTCAATTCACAATCATTGTGTTACTATAATACTATTTCACGAGGTTGACCATGACCATAATATTTTCTACTTTTAACAAACACTAACACTAATACAATTTTGTGGAACCTGTTAAAGTCAGTGTGTCTGCTTACAGATTTCTAATTCTAAAGTTTAAATCTGTAAATTGTATTATTTAATAACATGATTACACTTTGTAGAACTACAGGGTCTAAGAAACAACCCACACTAATTTCCAAATGGCTGTTCATTCTAGTTCCGACCCCCAGGCTGTTCATGAAAAGACTGATGCTTTTGAAAAGGCACCACCTGCTCATCATCAAACCATTGGATCAAACACAATGTGCTGATAAGAGGAAGTGGCTCAGTTCATTTACCTTCAGAGCTGGGGTCACAGCTTAATCAGGTTTCATTGTTTTGTGAAAATACAAATTTGATGTTTTGTCCACAAAGCATAACCTGACACACACACACACACACACACACACACACACACACACACACATCAAAGCACTGAACCATCCAATCAGCAGCGGGCAATTAAACTGCCATACTGGAAATACAAAACAAATATTGAACTTGCTAACCGTTGGGTGTCTGAGCGTGGTGGGGCAGATGGGAAACAGGGTAATAAGTGGTGAACATGAACCATCTGGACTGTAAAACCAAAACAATGAGCTTAATGACACTAAAATGTTTCACACAGGCGTTAAACATAATCATTTCATTTCTTGTTGAATATATAGTGAGGGGACATTTTAAGGAAAGTTCCTGTATGTTATTACCTGCTGTATTTCTCACAAATGTGACTGTTCTAGAAAACAAGGACGAACATGCTACCTAATAGTAGGTCAAACGTTTTCATCCCCAATAGGGCTGTTAGCTAGCTGTGTAGGAAGACCTTTCTTAATCCTGCCTACAAAGCTGTGTTTGGTTGAATGAGAATCCCACCAAGAAAAACAGCTTAGATTGATTATTAAGCAGAACACCAGTGAAGGAGTGGAGGCCTTAGCCGTGGAGTCTGCCACAAACCACATGCAAGACCACTAATTTGTTTGTTCTACCCTGTAATTGGGGTTATAATTACCGACTGGAATGGGTCTGATTCAGACGTCTAGTTTCTATAGAAACACACGCAATCTCACTTAGCTTGAGGCCTTTATTTGCTTCAACTCTGTGAGTGACTCAGTGGATTAATGTAAGTAAGGCCAGCCACAGTGACAACAAGATTGTGTAATAAGGACTATTTAAAGATGCTGGGGTGCAGTTGCTCAAGAATAGGATTTCATCAGAGCACAAACATGTAAAAGAAAAACAGAAGGGCAGCTATGTACCAGTATCTAAGGTCAGACAAGCAATAGAAAACCATGCTCCCTCTTAAAATGCTTTAGTGACTCTTGCCTTATGAAAGACAAAATAATGCAATAAGACACTTCCTCTTGTGCTGCAGTGTATGTGTTGTGGTACATCAGAACCACACCCCAGTGTGAGTGGTTCATTGCTTCTTTGCAACTTGACTTCACTATAAACCAGGATCTGTCTTGTTTAACATTTGAGAATTTGTCCTCACTCCTCTTCCTTCTTTTTTTCTAACCACCATGAAAACATCTTTTTATTTTTTATTTTTATTTTTTACCGTAAAAGGAAGGAAGCATATTTCCAGTGTTGACACATGGCCAGTGTCAGTGCAACACAGTTAAGTAGCATGTTTTCTGTCCTTTTTTCAGATCCGGGGTTGTCGAACTGGTTCAACTGTGTCTAACAACATCCAACATCAGCCAAAGGTTTTTGCATACGCAAATATTATGAGTAGGAAGGCCTGCTTTGCCTGGCAGTTGAATATCTTTAATGTGTCACTGCAGAGGTGACGTGAAGGTTTTGTTTTGTATAACTCTACTCTAAACAGAGGATGTTCTACCTCTTCATCTTTGTCTGAAAGTGTGGTGAGTGCATAAGAGCTGCTGGTTTTACTGCAATATGCTGAAACAAACTGTATATATTTTACAGTATCCTGTTTAAGTCAGATGCATGATACTGGCTATGTGGAGTATTCTAACCTTTTGAAAAAGGGAGACAAAGAGTGAAAGCATCACCAAACTGATTTATATCAATTTTACACTTTTCATTTCACATTTTCATATGCACAGTTTCAAAACTCCAAGGTAAAATCTGTTTCACAGTAAACTCCAGCAGTACAGTGAGCACTGAGATCATGTTCCTGATGATGGGAGTGGCTTCTTGAACGGCTTGATGGACATGAACTCCCCCTTGTGTTCATGTCCTTATTCAGTCAGAGCCATGCAGAGTGCATTCACACAAATCACAAAAAGATCACTGATAAAAAGAGTTATGGTTTCTTTGATCCAGAGTTCCTTTTACTTACTGCAGTGTGAACAGGACAAACTGAGCATTTTGACTCCACAGCCAACCATTCAGACTGGATTTATCTCTGCAGGTGAGGTGGGATGATTTCACCGTCCACAGTTATTCTGATCTCGTCCAGAGTGTGTACACTGATATTCTCTCTCTGGTCTGCAGAATCTGCATTTCTATTATAGACCATATCTTGTGATTTAAAATACCATCCAGAAGAGGAGTGAATGTTCCTCCCCCTGTAATGTTAATCCCATCCAAATGATCTTTTATCTGATTTAAAGGAAAACATTTCTTTTGTTAGTTTTTACTTTATATTTTCCATTATGTTTTTCTTTTATTATAGTAATATTTTCTTGCATCCATCACTTATGTAACATGA